CCTAAATTTTTTCATTGGTGCACCATCTTCTGCCACCTTATGGATTTCCTGCCAAAGCTTGCCCTGATATGTGAACTTTCGGTTGTCTAAACATATGGCCTATCCACTTACACTTTCTCATTTTTATTTCAGTTTGTGCTGTTTTTTGAGTTGTTTGGTTCAGCAGGCGTTCATTTGATATTCCATCTGGACACCATATTTTATTTGCATTTTTCTCTCTATGTGTCTGGAGATCACTGTTAGTTTTGAATGCTCTACTGAAGATATCATTTAGCGCTAAAATAAAAAACAATGGTGACAGTATACACTCGTGTCGCACACCTGTTTTGATGTCAAAAGACTTAGAGAACTGGTTTTTGCGGATCACGCGACACCTCACTTCTTCTACAGTTCCTTCAGATGATTTATAATATTTTCTGGCATTTCCAAAGATTTTTTTGAAATTTAGGAAGGCAACATAGGTGATGTGTTTCGAAGCATACATGTACTTAAATGAGTTTTGAAAATTGTTTTTTTTGTAAAAATTATCGATAGCATTCCTTAGACAACATCGTTTTGTTCAAAGTTTCTGAAACATCATATTTTCTGATTCGTTTTCCATATGTTAATAATAAATAAATTTTGCTTCAATCCGGCACCTCTAATATGCAGCACCTGTTAAATTATATGCAAGAGGAGACTGTTCCCAAAAAAACAAGTAGTCGTTTAAAACCCTACATTTCAATATCTAATGCCGAATATATTTGCAAGTAAATAATTTCCAAATTTATATTGCTTTAAAATTTTTCCTTTGGAAGTGATCGATCTCGATCCTCATAGAACGTCATAATTTTTAAAACCTTATTATCTTTTAACATTTCTTACTAACAATTTTTATTCAATCATGCAACCTAATACTTTTTTGAATAAAAACACACAAATTTATTTATTATGACTCATACGTTCTAGTAAATGCTGTATATTAAACAGCAATTATTTTTTAAATTAAATTACTAATATTAATTGCTGTCTATTAAATATTAAAAATGCTTAAGTATTTCAAATTTGCTGTAGTAATACATTGAACTTATTTAATGTAAAATGAATCCTTTAACTAACTAACACACTAATTGCTGTCTACGACCATTTTTCCTATCCAATTACAACATGTCTTGACCACTTATTTTACTATTTCTCCCCTCATCAACGCCCAAGTGTATTAATTACCATAATCAAATTGCCATAGCAAATTGTTACCTACTCTGACTTAATCCTTAGAGTAATTCACATCTTGCATTGCTTGAACATACCTTCCACCCGCATTCAGCGTCCCCATCAGTTTCAATAGACGTGCTAACAATGCTGACAGCAATATAAACTCATCAACAAGGTTGCCAATGAACAGAAAATCCTTTTAATTGCAAAAAAAAACTATAAAAAGAAAATAAATTTCCACGTCTCGCAGCACTTGATTTAATTTTAATTATTACGTTGTACGTAATGTAGCTCGACTTTGAATCAATGAAATGCTATTAACTTAATTAAAATTTATAGGCGGTTTTACTTGACGGTCTGTTCAAGTTACTGCAATTGAAATGAAAAGATTTTATGTAAGAAATATTCTTAGGCACAAACTCAATACGGGTAGATAAAACCAGTATCAAGTTCGATATCTTCAAAGTGTAAATATTTATTTATAATAACATTTTTATTAAAGTATTTTTTTTTTCAATTTAATTTTTAGAAAATATCTTTTATTTATTTCCACTACAATTAATAACTTATATATAATTTGTATTATATTAGGGGTGATAAAAATCTGTAAGATAAAAAATACAAATTTCTTGATGCATAATATTACATTAAGTCGCATTAATTAGGGTCATATGTCCAAAGTCAAACATGAAAAAAAAACTCAAACTATTTAGTTATCCTTCGCCTAGTGCACTCATCGTAGTACTGCTTAGCCGTCCTTCGCCTCACTTGAATTTTTGCCACTGATCAGAATATAATTAGCAACTTAAAGTCAGACGAAAGTATGATTTTTTTCGATTTAAGTAGACCCTTTTTATATTGTTCAGATAATCACAGATGTTTGTGTCGTATCTTCATCAGTTGTAAAACGGTTTAAAAACTAGTTATCAACTTACCAACCTTCTAAAACAACTTACCTTCATTTTTATGTATAATGTCTCCATTTTTTTTTCTAAAGTCACCAAGTTGTTAGAATAACGACTAATCTTAATTTTGCAGAAATGTTCAATTCGTATCTCCAAAATGTGTCCCCTAATGTACTCAATCATTTTTTGGAGCTTAAAATTCTTCTGCAAGAAGTGTAATATTTAAATAGTATTTATTAATATTAAATAAATATATTTTATTTTAATTAAAAAAATTATAATAAATTAAATTATATCCGTTATGATCTCTATTTTGATATTTTACTAAAGTTTACAAGAATTGTTTCCAAGACCACTGATGATGGATATTTGGCAATACTGGAAACAGCTGTATGGTCAGCCAAAAATTCAATTAATTAAAATATTATAAAAAAAAAATTTTTTGTGTTAGTTCTCTACTTTTCAAAATGTCTTTGAAAATTATTCCTTAATGCTGGTCTACTGAAATAAAAGTGACCAAAACTTAAATAACAGAATTCGATTATGATAGCAAGTATAACTGAATCTTCAAATGCATCACCAACTTTACGTGACAGTTACTATGACCACCTTTTTGAATTGTTTGTCCAGAAATTATTGATCTTTCGAATGATTGCATTTTTCAACAATATTTTACAAATGTAAAAATGTTCCAATATAACTTCTGTCTGTGCCCATCGAAAGGTCATTTGTCATAAAAGTTATTGACATGACTACATTTTAAATTGTAAATTGTAGATTGCGACATAGTCAAAAATAGTTATGCCTTCGGTTTCTTTGTATCCAGTTTTGACGACATTATCCAAGACGTTAAATAAGTGACTTCGTTCTTGTTCGTTTCCAGTAACTAATAGTCTTTAGAATGATTATATTTTTTGAACAATATTTCATTTGTCGTAAATGTTATAGACATAGGCATTCAGAGTGATAGACATAGACATTTATATTGTAATCTGAATTTTGTGATGTCTTAGGTGTAATACTTTCCCTGAATTTCTTCTATCGAGTTTTGCCTAGAAGTCTATCTAGTTGCCTAGAAGTTCGTTTGTTGATTATAAGAATATTTTTCAACTAAATTATCTAAAGGTATTTAGCTAATATTGATTTTTTTGGTGCCCAACATAACGCTTCTGACAAATTCGTAGACCCCTATATCTCGAAACCTATGATTTTTTGTGCTTTATATTTTAACAAAATTTCATTATCAGTAATGAAAAACAATACCAGAAAAGATAAAAAATTTTTATTTTTCATAATTAATTTAATTTTTTATAAATTAAACTTCGAAGCGATTTGCTGTTTTTTATTTCACTAATTTCTTCCAAGTCCAGGATCTTTTGAATCTTTTAAATTGACTTCCTAAATTTTCTTATACTTTCCTGTTTGTATATATGGACCTGTTAGGTATTTTTTTTCCAATTTTCCTAACCTAACCTGTTTGCATATATGGACCTGTTAGACATTTTTTCTAAGTTTTTGTTTATAACTTGAGTTCCGTCTTTTTCCTGGACTTGGAACTCTACTAGCATTACTCAATTGCAAGTTTAAAATTACTCAATTGATCTCAATTATTATTATGTATGAATATTTTTTTAATTTTGATGATGACTAGGATATTTCAAAAAATTGAAATTCAATTGTGATGTATTTTATTTTTAATATGAAAAAATATTACAAATTTTTGCCTTCTAATTTGAATCAACAATAAGAGTACAATAAAAAATAAAAGCAAATAGTTTGGTTCAAAAAATTTATTATTATAATAGTTTTTCAATATATTAAATATATGGTTAATTAATTCTGTATTAAAATTATTATTATAATAGTTTTTCAATATATTAAATATATGGTTCAATATATTATAATAGTTTATAGCAGTATTATAATAGTAGTATTTAAATTTATTACAAATGTATTGTTTTCTGATTTCATTCATTAGTTTTCACAATCTTTGAATCCTTTAAATTTTCCTTATATTATTAATTAAATTTTATTCAATTATTTGTGTTATTAATTACAAATTTTTGCTTTCTAATTTGAATCATTCTATTGAATGTACGATAAAAAATAAAAGCAAATAGTTTGGTTCATTTTATATTATTATATTATATATTAAATTATATATTAAATATTTATAATAGTTTTTCAATATATTAAATATATATATTTAATTTATTATATATATTTAAATTTATTAAATTATAATAAAAATTATAATAATTTATTGTCGATTTCATTATTATTTTAGTTGAATCTATTAAATTTTCCTTATATTTTAAATTAAATTAAATTTTATTAAATTATTTGTGTTATTAATTTAATTTAAAATTAAATTATTACAAATTTTTTTATTTTCTTATTTCAATCAACTTAGTTTTCCGTATTCTATATTTGGTAAATAATAATTTTTTATTCATGAATACAAATATTTAAAATTTCTGAAATTTAATATTATTTTCGTATTCTTTAAATTACTGAATGTAATTTTTCTTATATTATTAGCACAATCTGATTTATAGAATCTCAACAAATCTCCGAAAAATATATTTTTAATGCACTTAATTGAGATAATGTATAATAATTTTATTATAATATTTAAATAATATTTATTTTCAGCAATGGAGATAATTTATATAAACTTTAAAAACTGTAACTGTAGGATATACAGATACAAATTATACAGATAATTATAATCTATTATAATTTTCAAATTTTTCATTCTGTTCGTTTATAACTTCTAATCAAATTTTAGTTGAAAAAATTATATAATTCTTTCACTCTTTCAATCTTACAACTAGGCATTGGGTTTGTTGTTTCAATATCGACAAGATACGATATATTCTAAAGCCCACTTCAAGTAACTTAATCAAATATGTTTTGTTGTTGTATTTGTTGTATTTTTTTAAATTGGAATCGCTCTTGTTGTAGTTGTTCTTCATCTATAGCTGGCATCAATTGCAGTTCTTTTTCAATGTTCCTTAAACCAAACAACAACCATGTTTCGTTGTGAGTTTTCATTTCGAAGTGTATGGGATATTCTTCTTCATAATTACTATCAGTTTCAAATATTTCGAAATTGTCACCGCAATTTAGAGCTTCATGCAAATTCAATTTGGCCTTTTCACCATAAGATACATTACACTTTTCGCAAGTAAACTTAGCTTTTGGATCATCATTCTGTGCGAATTCCACTGGTTTAGTGATTTCCATGAAATGTTGAAAGTCACCTTCTACATCTTCAAGTATGACAAAATCACGATTTTCTTTACGGCTAGCAGGTAGACCAGCAAGATAAAAAGGTACTGTGTATAACTCCAAAGAGGTATGACACAGCTGCAAACAATACAAATTCACGTTTTTCAAAGACGTCAAAAAGAATTTGTTTCCGCTAGTTTTATAGTTCAAGTAAGCTTCGGTAATAGTATCAATATTGCAGCTCTCTTTCTTTTCATTTTCACGTTTCAATTCTTCTGGGTCGACGTCAATAGTTACGCCCTTAACGCGGAATTTTCGGGGTAATGACATTTTCTTCACACCATTAATAAAATTGCTTCGTTCCATTCTTAGATAAACATTCAAACGGTTAATTCTAAAGTTGTCGGTATTTAAATAACCAAGTGATTTCATAAAAGTCTTCACCTTCTCCAATAACAGTATGAATAACATATCAATACTATCATCAATATCGAAATGATTCTCAATGGCTAACTCAGTACTTTCAAAAACAAAATTGTAGTTATTAATTTTTACGTAGAATGAGGTTTGTATATATACTTTCTCGGATATAACAAAAAGTATGCGTATAGTGGATGGAAGTTCATCGATAGCTGCAGCTGCCAAAAAATCCATATTGCCTTCAGTAGCGTTATCATGTTTCATTATAAAAGTATTTGTGTCATTGTCGATAATCGCGCGCAATTTTGCTCGCTCATCATGTGTCATTCTCAAGTTGGTGACATAAGAATTCCTTACATAATGCTTTCCCAATGGCTCGTTACGTTCGGTTATATCATAACAAGTTTCACAGTCAATGATTTTACCACGCTTGGTGTGCCAACGATGAATAAATTCCCTTGTTTCGGGGCTATATACGCTGTAAGTAAAGCTGGAGTTGGGTTCCTGAGATGGAGCAATTTCATTAAACCGATTCATTATTCTTCACTATTATTCACTTTTAAAATCAAATATGAAAATTACTTTAATAATAACTATTAGTTGAATTAACTTTGTAATACACACAATGATGTTTACTTTTGAACTGATTGATGTTAATGATTTTCTCTCAGCTTATATACACCTGAAATGACCTTCAGATAAAGTAAAATACAATTATTTCACACATTAACTCCTTGCTATTAAGTAGAACTGTAGGGTTTTTTCCTCAACATTAATTACCTATGCAATTCTATTGTTTGTCGTTACCTGAGTCAGTTAGATAATATAGTTTAAAGCGAGTTATTAATTTTTGACCAAAAAATTATGTGCGTTGTTGGGATATAAAGAAGTAAGTTTTGGTATAGAAAGATAACAAATGGAAAGGAAAATTCTTAGAATAGGTGGATATTAGTTTCCTAAAATTATAACAAGTTATACCTAGTTAAAAGTAAGATTTGCCTCAATTTCGAGTCTTAGAATTTCCACCAAAGTTCATACCAAGTTCATAGTCAAAATTATTGCTAAATTGTAAACTGGCATTAAACATGAAATGTCTTCACCAAATTTAATTTATAATTAATAAAATCTTATTAATTAATTCCTAATTGGTGAAATCGTTTTTGTTAATAATGTATTCTAAACGACGAATCTGTGTCATTACAATGCATAATCTAGAATAATGATTTCACTAATTTTAATTATTTGATTAAGCTGTAATTAATACTTAAAATAGTACAAATACTCTTTTAAACAAATTAAGACATTAAAAAAAATTTTAATTTTTTATTAAATGAGATCTGTGGTTTACCGTCTACCTTATTTGCAGTATTAAGAACTCTTTATTGTAGAAAAGTAAATTAATATCAACTCACATAAATCACTCTTTTTATTTATTATAGTATAGTAAAGTGGCCATCAGTATTTTGAAATATTAATTAGCTTAACGGTCTATACATCATAGACAGCAAGGATCAAGTATTGAACCCTGTAAGTTTTAAATCCCAGACCTACATGTTAAGACCCGAACCAACCTATGCTTAATGTTAATGCCTGTGCTGTGCTATTTTTTACAAAAAACGCATAAACTATAGCTATATAAATGAACTTGATAATTATAATTAAGTTAATAATTAATTATTATTATAATTTCAAACACTATCATTTGTAGAAACAATATCTGCATATTCATCTAAATCGCTTAAATTCTGTTAACATCTTTAAGGAGTTTTGCATTTTATCGCTTTTTTTAAGGCCAAGGCGAAGAGAATATTTGTTAAATCACCTAGCTTTATTTCTAGTTAAAAATTGATGCCGATTTAGAATAAAAATGATAGAATGATATGCAATAACCATAATAGATCCCGATGGTCGCAGTATCACATCCTATATTTATAATAATAGAATATAAAATGAGGTAATGATAGGAAATTATTATAGAAATAGAATAGAAATAGAATTTTAATTGATAGAAATTTAAAGCGCAGTTTTTAATACTTTTGTCATATAAAATAATAAAATAAAATAATAATATAAAATAATATAATAAAATAATAATATAAAATAATAAAATAAAATAATAAAATAAAATAAAAATAAAATAATTTTTATATGTATTAGTACCAAAGTTTTAAATTTTTGTTCAAATAAGTCCTTGGACTATCGATATATACATAGGTATCTTCAAATATGTATCCGGTATTTGAATCATTTTGTATTCAAAATAAGTTTCTAGTTATAGCATATAAAAGTTTGAATTTAAACTCTCCACTCTCATGTTAAAAGATTATTAATAGATTTCAATTAGGAGGTTTGCAAATGAGTGAGTTTACTTATTAGTAAATAAAATTTAACTTAATTGATTAATTAACTTTAGTTTAATAAAGTTTTCAACCATTTTGGGATATATTAGACGTGTATTTTGTATATAAAGTGTTGAATTTGTTTGATACTGACATTATGTTCAACTATTATAATGTTCATCAATACAATAATGAGGTTTTCTGTAATTAATAATGAAATTAATCAAATATGTTACTAGAGTTTCTGGGAACACCTGCCTGTTTCCAGCTTATTTAGTCTTTAAACTAACTAAGAACCCTGAATGACTTTCAAATTATGCAATTGAAATATTATTATATTAAAGGAAAGAATACCTTTAGGGAATGATAAGGTAAAACTTTAATACCATTCATTTTTCGGTATAAAATATTATATACATGCTTTAAATATTAAGCACTAATAAAATATATTTTAAACAAGTATACTTGTTACTTAAACTTCCCCAGCATATGTAAAAAAATGATATTCAATATTTAAATAATTAGCTAATACTTAATGCTAACATTTAACTTAATTTTGTTATATTAATTATAATCTGCTAATACTGTTTTTAAATTTTACACATACTTTTTTAAATCTGCAAAAATGTGTTAAGTAGTGAATGACTGCGAAACAAAGTATATGTTGGCTACTGGCAGCAATGTCTATAATTTGGGCACCAAGCTGATAGCTGCCGGCTATACAAACAACAAACAATAACAACATCAGCCTGTAAGAGTCAACAACGAAGCGTCACAATTGCCTATAGGTGGTGCTATGAGTTCAGTAGGTAATTGGGATGTAGGGCTTTCTCTCGGCAAACAAAGCTTATGGTCTATAGACCGCTCAATTCATTCTGTGCTTAAATATAACGAAAAAGTATAAACGTTATTACAGTATGATGAAGCAGCACTCGGAATTTTTAAGCGATAATTCTTCGTAAGATCTTTGCTTCTTTACAATGACGGCAACGATTACCTCAACCGTTTGAACCAAGAGCTATACAAGCTTTATTATGAATTCAACATAGTTCAGCGAATTAACATCCATTAGCTTCACTGGGTTGGTCATATCATAAAAATGGAAGACAATATAGTACTCAAGCGAAAGAGGCATTTAAAGTTATAGCTGGAGCTAGAAGACGTTGAGGTAGACCGTGTCTTCTGTGGAGTAATCAAGTTGAAGAAGCACTAAAAACATGTGATCTATGAGACTGGAAAAGGAACGTAAACAACAGAGAACCGCGACAGAAATTCCAGAACGATAAAAAGGGTTATTTCCATTAATCTAATAATGGGTTGTTACGGCCATTTAAGTACGAAAATATATAT